AACCAACTTTGGCGGCAATTTCTCTTGAAGCAAAGCCGTTTTTAAGCAGTATAATTGCTTGTGCTCTCTGTTCAGAAGTTAACTGAACCTTAAAATAATAATACAAAAAAAAGGTTTTTAAAGGAGTGTGAGTATGCGAAAGGAAGTGTTTATTATAAAATTTATTATTAATAAATAAAAAAAAATTTTTTTTATTCGGTTTTTATTTTTTTTTTATCAAATGACAAAAATAACGCACCATGGTTTTGAAAAAAAAATGTATGTAGATCAATCTATGTAATACAAAAAAGAAATCTAACTATATTTATTTTGAAGATCTATATCTGTATTACTTATTTAAAAAATATTAAATTAAAACAAATTTATTGTTGATCGTAAAACATGTGACTAGTAATAAGCAGTATAGTGGTGCGTTTTTTTTTGGAAGCCACTGTATATATTTTTTTTTATTCATTTTCATTAGAATTTTTAATGGCTAATGACATTTTATAATTAGACCTTGGCGCTAATGTTCCATTCGTTAATTTCTTTAATGACGGAAAATCCTCCGTCACTAAACCAACAAATAAAAACAACTGTTGAACGCGAGAATTGGGAAACGGAATTCCATAAAAATTATATCGCACCACAAATTAGAAATATAACCGAAACTACGACTGACTATCGTATGAAATTAGATATTGCTTCATCAAAGAATCAAAAGCATCATAATATGATTGAGCGTGAAATCGATCAGACCTTGGTTATGGATAAGCAGTATCGAAGTGAATATTTTCCAAGTTTATGGAGAACGATTGGAAAGGCTAAATTTGATAGTTTTCATGCTTCTTATATGAGCGATTCAACAAACAAGATTAATTATCCGTTTCTTTCAGTCTTTTTCAAATACGAACGACGATTGAAGTTACTTCAATATCTTTGGCCTATTGCAAAATTTGTTCAAATTTTGAATTCAAAACTTGGATGTCAGTTAACTAGACAAAGGGCAAGGAAAATAACCTTCAAACAGTTTATAGGGAACGAAACTAATGGTGGCGAAAGTCTTTCTGCATTTGTTGACTTTAAACTTGGTTGGAATGCGATTATGCCTTTTGTAAGTCGATATCAATGCCATGAACTCGCTAATGATAAACCATTCATGAATTATGACCTTCCAGTGGTCTTTGGCTTAATGGAATCAAAGGATGAAGGAATCTACTTATGTGCAATTATAGATTATTTAGTTGCTTTGCAGAATGATTTCCTACAAGAAGTCGCAGAAATTCCACGTGAAACTTGTGAATCTCTTAAGTTTTTAAATGAATCGACTAACCCATCTACATCCAACACGCCTAACGGACGCTACCTTCAAATGCGTATTGATCAGGCTCAATCCAAGAATATCATCCATTTTGATTGGGATAATTAAATCCTTGCATATAGTCAACGTAATTTGGCTATTGCAAAAGGTCAAGATATAGTTTATTACTTTGCAGAAATTGAGGCGGAATTAGCAAAGATTCTAGTTTTTGAAAGGGTTCATATAGTAACTCAACCAGGATCCCAGTTATATTTAGAGTCTTTCCCGTATCACATGGAATTGTTCCGAGGATGTGTGAGAATTCTTGGTGACGTTAGAGATTTAATACCACAAGAACCAATCCCAATCGAGAAAAAGTATTCATTAATTGTTTCTGAAACAGCTTTAGACGTTACGGAAGTTTTATCATCATTGGAAATGCTTTTGTGTTCTGTTAGACGTACGGCAATTAGAGACGGTGAAAAATCGATTAAAGATTATGTTTTACACTCATTATTCGATCATGAAGGATTCTCTAAATTTATTAATATCGATTTACGACTTAAGCACTTGGTTGATTTATATGAATTTATTGAAGAACAAGTCGCCAATCTTCAAATAGAAAATATCCATAAAAAATATAAAGCTCCACTTTCGGAAGACATGAAATCCAAAATAATTCAATCCGTAAATTTTGAACGAACTATGAACGATGAAATGATACCAGCTGAAGCATTTACTTTGGCTTTAAAACGATTCATGTTTCGATTTTTAACGACGGAAGATCAAAGCGAAATGGAACCATTATATATTTACTTGGATATTTCGTTAAATTACTGGCCGTCAAATGTTTTAGGGGACCATATTGACAATTTATTCCCAACAAATTTAATGATAGAAAACACCTATGCCGCTTATGAATTTACAATGAAAAAGATTGAGGTAAGGATGATAAATTATGGTTATTAAAGTTATATCAAAAACTTATACTAATTCTTAAAAAAAATTCTTTAGAAATCAAAGTATAACTCCTTATTTAGGACGATTTTTCTTCTTTATTTTCTTATTTTTATATTAGCTAAAATAATCTTGAAGTACTTATGAAAAATGTGTAAGTAACAAAGTCTTTGTTGCAAGACGAAAGATGGATGCGATCAATTTAAAAATCGTTGACGTTAATAAAGAATAGCACTCATGCTTTTTGTTTGATATAACTAGGGAGGTACGAGGAATAACTCAACGATCCATCCATTATTATTAAATTAAAAATAAATAAATATTATCGGAATATAAAAAAAAAAGCTTGTATTTGGATAAAAAGTTCAAAAAATTCGAAAGTTGCGCCTTAATGAGAAATACACAAATAATAATAAAACAATTACAAAAAAAGAAATCTGACCTGAAAATTTCTGACCAGTTAAGAATGCCTTAGATCTGAAGTAATCCAACCTGTAAGAAATAAAAGAAAAAGCAAAAGCACAAATAATAAATAAAGATAAAATAAAAAAATATTAAAAGCTCTTACCACAAAAATTCAAACCGACCCTCAGATTAGAAATTAAAAAAATACAAATAATATACCGGAAATTATTTGGAATATATCACGTGAATTTCACGTGACAAGATCAACCACTAAAATAAAAAGTAAATAATCAACTTTGTTCGTCTTAACAATAATAAAATTTTCCCATAAACTCTTGGCAGTTTTTTTAGAAATAATTCCGTAAAATAATATGTCAAAATGGAAATTTCTCAAAAAAAACGTCAGCGTGAAGTAATTTTACATTATTGGAATCAAGGAATATGTGGAGCAAGAGTAATTCAGCAAAAAACGGGCATTGGGCTCTCAACAATCTATTACAACCTAAAAAAGTTAAAAGAGACAGGAAACGTAGCTCAGAAAAACGGTCAAGGTCGGCCCAAAAAAATTACCAATTCAGATGCATGTACTATAGGGCAATGTATTAGACGAAATTCTAAAATTTCAATCAGTGATTTAGTTAATAAATTAGCAGAAAAAGGTACGAAGGTAGGAAGAGAGACAGTCAGAACCCATCTTCACACTTTTGGCTATAAGAATGCTCTCTCACTCGTAACCCCTATGCTTACAGCAAAACACAAGGAAAAAGGGTAGAATGGCCCAAAAACATTTAAACGATAATTTGAAAAAAACCTTATTCACAGATGAGACATCATTTCAGCTATTCCGAAACACAATAACACAATGGTATAAGAATAAAAGACCTGTACGACCAATTCCTAAGAATCGAAAAAAAATTCATGCGTGGGGGGGGGATTTTTTTATGGGGGAAAAACTAGTATTTATTGTTTTACAGGAATTATGGATGCGGATTTTTATATTGAAATACTTAGAAACCAACTTCCTGAAATCAAAGAAATGTTAGGTCGTCGTTGGAGGTTTCAACAGGATAACGAACGAGCCGTAAAGCCAAATAATTTATTAACGAAAATATTCCTGTTTTAATTGATTGGCTAGCAAATAGTCCCGATTTAAACCCTATTGAAAATTTATGGGAACTTCTTAAGAGAAACGTTGAGAAGAGAAGACCACAAAATTTGGAGGATTTGGAAAGGTTAATGGTTGAGGAATGGGAGCGAATTCCGGATTTCATTTTAAAAAAATTAATTGAATCGATGCCAGCAAGATGTAATGAAATAATTAGACTTCAAGGGGAAAGAATAAACTATTAAAATTTTATTTTTATATTTTTCTACTATTGTACTTTTAATTAAAAAAATTTTTATAATAAACGAATTATTAGTTTTTGAGAAATTGTCATTTAAAAATTTCCAAATAATTTCCGGTACCACTGTATATAATAATAATAATCAAAAATAAAAAAGCATCGTAAATAAGAAACAACATATGGTTACATTTAATATAGTTTTGCCCGAAGAGACAGATTAACTCTGTAAAATTTAGAACAATGTCAAGAACGAGCTAATAAGTTAAAGGTGCCATATTGGTAGAATTCCAAATAGAATTGCGATGTGTTCAGTTCTTTTTATTATGTATTTATAAACAATTTTGTAATGTAAGCAGAAGGTTTTTATTGAGTAAAAATGAAGTAATGTAGACGCTAAATTTATTTAATGATATCAAATTTATCAGTGTTGTCCCAACTTCGTCAATGTCAATATATTAAACTAAATAAACGGCCAATCAATAAACTCTAATTAATTAAAACTGCGCAATTACGAAAAATTGAATAATAAAAATAATAAGAAAATCGGAAAATTAAAAAAATAAACAATCACATTGATAGAGAAATATTAAGCTATTTTGTACGAGCATGTAACATTATCGTATGCCGAATTATTCCTGTTTCGCAAAAAAGCTTAAATAACAAGAATAAATTAAATTTTTGTAATAGTTCATTCGAACTCATTGTTACCTATTGTTCCAAAATTATCATGGAATCGATAATTAAAAAGAAACAAAATCAATGTGGGTGAAACTTTATTATATCTTTTGAAAGGTAAATTTCTTTTCTCAATAAAAAATATATATATATATATATATATAAATAGCCAATATAAACTAAATTTACATCATTTTTTGAAAACCTAAAATAATAAAAACCATCAAATATAATTACTGACACTTATTATACATTTTTAAAACTAAATAATATACAGTGCGTTTCAATATAACATTAAGTACATGATTATTCCAATTTCAATAGACGTTATCTATTCCTTAGACCGCAGTGCAAGATTTACAAATTGGAGGAGTACCGACGCAACCTTGACAATTAAAGTTACATTCGCCGCACATAAGAGTGCACGTTTCGCTGCAGACTCCCGAGCACGTTGCAGCCTTGCAAACAGGACCTTTGCTGCATTTGGAGGCAGCACAACAGCAATCTCTACAAGTAACTAGACAAACATCATCGCAAGGAAAGGCTCTTTCCACATAATAGCCAAAAGGAGGTTTTGCTAAAGGTTTTGCCAAAGCAAAAACAGCAAACATAGCCATCAAGAGAAGATTGAATTTCATTGTGAACTTTGTTTTTTGATAGAAGATTTTCTTTTGATGTATGTATTTATGATAAAGCTGTCATCAATCCACCGATTTGATTATTCTCGAATAGGACTTTTATCTGAATTGTTGAAAAAGTGACATCTCACAAGCGAAAGGTCGATCATGGATCAAAAAGCATAAGATCGCCAAAAATATGTCACGAGACGCAGAATTGTTTACTGTTACGCAGTGTTTTTTTTTCTCGGCATTATTTTTTTTTTCCTTGGCGTTCCTTTTCGACAATTTTATTATCAATTCAACTGTTCCACACTATCAAAGGGTCATCAGCCAGTCTTTAGATCATTGGATATGATTAGCAATTCTAAAATGATTTTAAATTTATAATTTAATCTAAATTACAATGCTTAAATACAACTTTTTAATAAAAAATTTATTCTTATATTTTATTATTAAATTTTATTTTGCTTTTTATCTAGGACATAAATCATAAAGTCCTATGCAAAAAGAACTGCTTAATTATGCTTATTGTCGAAATGTATTAATTCCCGTTGTACAAGTATAATTACGCCTCGTTCATTGAATTGCAACTGTACTAACTTCATGCATAAAGATAATGGGCTAATAATATGAAATTTAAGGAATTAAAATTATAGGTTTGATCTAATTTCGAAGAGAATTATGAAAATCTGAAATAAAAAAATACCTAGATTTAAGGTGGAAATACGGAAGTTTAGAAATCTAAAAATTTTAAGAGTTGGATATACTTTGATGTAATTTTGGTTGAACATATCTTTTTCACATCTATTTAACATGAGTATAAATGGAATATGTATAATCTCAAACTGGAATTGATTAGGTTGGACCTAGTTAACAAGTCTGGTCCTTTTCTAGTACAATCTTAGCCGCAGAAATGGTATTTTTTCTGCAGTACTTATTCAGAGAAATGGCTAAAAGATTTTTAATAAACGTTACATATCAAATAAAAATGAATTGTATCATTTAGAATAATTGCTAAATGAATCAGGTTTTAACGGATTAATTATATTACAGGAAACGACTCTGAGTCAACAGTCCCATCCCTATCTGCTAAGCTTTTAATTTTAATATTATTATTACTTTGTTAATTGTGATTTTTTTTTCATTTTTTTTTTTACGATTTCTTTTGGATTGGATCGTTTCAGGCATTATGATTTATTAAATCTTATTTATACCAACAAATATCTTGACGAAATTATTAAAAATTAAAAAGAACTATGATGGTTTTATTGTTTCTATTTAATTATCATTATATTTATTCATAGTAATGACTTGGTATATTACATCGCAAAATTTAGTTGATAAAAATATATGGGAGGCGGTCAGGGGAAATCCACTTTTTAGTCAAAAATTTTTTTATTGGTTCACTCACTCTACTGATCATGGTCATGTGAACAAAACTAGCTTAATAACTAAAATTACTCAAAATTTGTAGATTTCCCCCTTTTCTATTGACCGCCCCTCATATTTATATTCTCAACCTTCTTGTTATAACATCCAGCAGGTTTTGATCGATGCTTAAATCGGGACGGGTGTGGAATAAAATTCGAGTCATTATTTAACATGAATTTGACCTGACCCCCGATTATAGACAAACTTGCAATAGACTCGAATTTTAAGGATAAGATTAATTATAAATTTTTTTATTTTGCAAATTACACTATGTAAATAGATTTAATTTACATTTAAAGTTTACTCATTTAAACATTATTCATATCGTCAATGATTTGTTATATATATAAGATTTTTTTTATAAAAATACTTTTGAATAGCTAAGACACCTAACTTTTGAACATAATCAAAATTCATCATGAAATTGGAAAGAATGTGTTAGTGAAATAATGCAATTTTGCAAAAATAACAACTTAATTCGATTATGGATTTTACTTTTGGAAAGAATGATATTTTAAAGTAATAATTGATTTTATGAGCGCGAGCATTTAGTGAAAATTTTAGTTATATTCAACTACAATGATTGTTGAATCTCATTTATACAAGTTTCACAAGCCACTAGTTGATATATTCTTATTAAAAAAGTTGTCAATCAGCAATTATATTGAATTTCTTTACTTTGACAAGTACGTTATACAGTACCATGGCGTGGCGTAAAGATTTCAAAAAATAATGGAAACAAAATGAAAAAAATACAAATAAATTTCAGATATTTTACAGATTTGACTAAATGGATATGTGCATGTCCTGCATATAATCAAAGTCGTTTCTTTTTATTAATTCTGTTGAAAAAGCCGATGCAATATTTTTAAAAAGGTAAGAAATTTATATTTCATATTTAATTTTTTTTATTAAAGGTACAAAGAAACGGAAATTATCCATTAATTTCATACTATGAAGGTAAACACTGGTAAATGCATTTTGTTTAGAATCTTTAGATTCTAAAACTACAAGTGTTCAATTAATTTAAGATTCATATATAATTGATATAATTGAAAGTGACAACGAACAACATACTGTATGTATGAAACGGATTTGGCTTATTTGCATAAAGTATTAAATAAGGTATATTTGAATTTGTACATATATTAATATATTTTTGATTTTTTATTATATTAATATTGGTTTCTAGACTAATGAATTGTTAGAGGGATCACACAATAACCAAAATGGCATTTAGTTATAAAATATTCGTTCGAATTTAAAATCACTAAAAAATCATCGAACTATACCAAAAACTTGGAAAAACTTTTAATAATAATACAACGTATTGGGAACAATAATGTTTTTATATTAGTCAGACCAGAATATTTTTTTTTTTATTCGTTAAATTCTAAAAATTAATACAATATATACCGGAAATTGGTGTCCGAAAATCACGTGTATTCCAATAAATTATCCTGCTACCATTTTTTCCGGGCGACGCAAATATTTTTATCTTATTTTATCAAAAATTCAGAATATAGTATATTTACTTTTCCTTAAATGAAGAAACTTCCAGTTTTAATAAATCGTGAAAAAATATTAACATCTAATTTGTGCGAAAGGAAATGTAGACATAACCTGCATCGTCATTACTTGGACCGACCTGTGATTTTTATTGATCATGAAAAGTTCTTAATATTCACAAGTTAATTCACAACTTCGTTTTATTCATTTATTGATTAACTTAATAATAAAGAATAAGAATAAGAAATTTATAAAAGAATCTTATATTCGAAACTTTATTTAACGGTTACATGAAAGAATCTGTTTCTGTTGAACGAATATATAAGGATAACATATAATAAGTAAAGAATAATATAATGTACATCATACCAATCGTACAAGATGCTTTCATTCAGGATTACAGTAACGAAAAGATTATTTCATTCAAGGATGGAAAACCTTGATCGTTCCCTCGATGCAAAACAGAACTTTCTCATCTGGATTCGAAACTAATAACAAATAATAAGAAAAGGATTAATTTATGAACATTTAAGCAACATAAAAAATATTGTCATTTACATACTGGTGAATCTCGTGTAGATTGTAGTTTCAACATTCTTTGGTTCATCAGGGTGTTGCTCTATAAGCCAGGTTCCACTAAAGTCGAAATTTCCTACTTCAACTGGGCAAACAAACCCGCTTGGTACGACAAATGACTCACAAAAACCGAATTAATGCTCGACATTTCCATTAGGATCATGATAGATCCTAACAATTGCACCATTTTCAATAACTGCGGCCGTATTACCAACCATGTTAACGGTCATATTTTGACCCGTGACAATAGGATCTGGAGATATCTTCATTGAAGTTAGGCTTATTGCGTAGTCTCCATCGCATATTTTAAAGTCGCTTGAAGAAGGTTCTTGGCGTTTTTCCAATGGAGTTGATTTGACGAATGATGATGCCAAGATCAAGGAAATAAAGACGAAGGTAAAAATTCGATTCATAATTTACAAAAAATGTTTATATAGAATTCGGAAATTTTAAAACTTTGTAAATGATTGAAAGTTAAGAAAACAAAAATAACGAAGGCGAAACGACGCTGGTTTTATATTCGCAAAAATGAAAAACTTGAGTAAATGAAATCAGATTACGATTGATTAAATTTTTCAATCGTTATTGTTTAATTTCTTTATTTGAAACTACAATAAGAAATAAACTTGCATCATGCACTTTTTTTTTTGGTGAGAATTTTGGCGGCAGGACGTATTTGCCTTATTATTGCGTAAAACCGGATTTCCATATACAGTAAATTTATAATGATTTCAGATCATCTGAATAAGCTCGTTATTTTATTAATAGTAGAGCTTCCTTACTTAGAAAGTTCTTGGTTATTAAAAGCAAATATGAATAATAAAACGATTTTAATAATGCCAAATATAATTTTCAGTTCATGCAGCAATTACATAATTACAAAATTATTTATATCTATATATCAATCAAAATTTATTGCGTTCATAATAAATTAAGAATTGATATTGATGCAATCATACCTTTATTCATAACTATTGTCAGCATTTTACATTTTTTTTTAGTCTTCGACAGGTTTTGGATTGTAGGTGATTGTGGCTGGGTAAGCGCCATCGCAACTTTTAAACCGGTAAGAGGGTTTTGACGTTTTGTACGACGATGTCAAGGTCAAGAAATTCTTAATAAAATAATAAAACTTATTTTTCAAAAAAAAAAAAATTTTTTTTTATTTTGTTTGTTTACAAAATTAAGAGTAGAGCTTAAAATTTTCTTTTATTTCATTTGAAGAGTAAAGTTTAGTACGTTTTAATATTTGCAATAATGAGAATCAAATAATTTACCTTTTCTCATTGTACATTTGTCAAATTTCTATTTTCGAAATGATAATAATGCAGACAAGACATATTGGAAGCTCACGCGTAAAGGAAAAATTTTTAATCTATGAATTTTTCCTTTTTATTGATTATGATTTCATGTATTAAGTGAATCCTACTTTGGTTTAGATTTGACTATAAAGTTTTTTTTACAGCTAATTCAAATCGAAAAAAAATCTTTGCGGTTCAATAACAGGTAACCTTGAGAAATTCTTTGTGATTGAAAACAAAATTAAATATGAATAAAGAACTATATTTGAAACATTTTACATAATTTTCCAATTGTCTTTTATTAATTGGCAAGCCGTAATTCAATTAAATATAAATAGCTAGCACTATTATTTATTTTATAGTACATATAAAATATTGAACATGGAATATGTGATTCAACCTCAAAATTTAATGAGTGGAATTGCAGAAATCAAGAAAGAACAATTGCGTTAATATTCATAGCGAAGGTTGAAAGTAGATAGCCATTTTTATTTTTTTTTTTGATTCGTCTCATAATTGATCGGCGCACAAATTCTATTTACATAGTTAATTTTGCTCGTTCAGAATATCTTTCCAATAAAATAATTTAGACATGAATATTTTATCCATGCAGAAATCAACTTTGTAAGCGACTTCCTCAACAATTCGAGTAGCAACGTGTCCTGACTCAACTGGATTTTGAATTTAGTTTTTCATTTAAAGGACGAGTTTAATTTTTTTTTTTTTTAATCGTTAATAATGTAGAGATTAAGGAAATACTATGTAAATCTTAATGCGCCTCATTTCTTAAAGATTTTGCTTTTGAATCTTAAAATCAAAAGGAGCTTTAATGTTTTGATTGTAAGAAAACAATCGGTCAATACTGATTATAATATTTGTATTATCAAAAAATACTGAGATCAAAATGACTAAAAAAAAATATTCTATTTTTTTTTTCCTCGCAAATGATGAATGTAACAATGATTTTGAAGGCGTAACTTCTCGAAAGAAAAAAAAACTTTTTGAATCAAACAATGAATATAGGATTATCGCGAAACGCCAAATAAAAACGGCTCTTTTTTTTTATAGCAATATTAAATTTGGTTAAAAATTAAACAAAGAATATTGTTTATTACGAAATGAAAACATAATGCTTTTGTCCATACATTATCGATTATAATTATTAATAATTAGTTAAGGTGAGGTTTTTCTGACTTTGATTACTCGGGTATTTTTTCTTACGTAATGTATTTATTTTAACTTTGTGTACAAGAAAAAGATCACAAAAAAAAAAAAAAAAAAAAAAAAAAAAAGGATTGTTTAATTCCTTTATTTGAAACGGTATTGAAAATAATATATTTCTTATTCGAGATAAAAAAAAAAAAATATGATTGTTACGCGAAAATTAAATAAATACTGTATGTACAGTATATCGTCATTGTTCATTTCATTCCCTCCCGCAATTAATCCGATGATCTTAGAACAATAGAACGTCAATTGTTTTTCTAAGAATATTTTTTTTTATTTTTTGAAAGAACCTGAAAAAAAAAATTTAAAATTTTGTTAATACGAAAATAGAAATAAAACAAAAAAAATCATATTGCATATGATGATGTTACATTTTATTTCAAGTCTAGTACTTTTATGTATTAAATTGATCATGAAATCAATTTATCTCCTGATTTTCTATTCATAGTGACAAATTACAATTAATTTTTTTGTGTTCGAACCCGCTTGAGGATATTAATTATATGAAACTTGACTGGATAATGAAATCGTTCCTAAATCCGGAGCGCATTCACCATTTTTCCCATATTACTCTAAAATAGAACACAGAGAAATTACCAACAAAAATCGTAATCGTCAGATCATTCTTATTAATTTTTTAAAAAAAAAAATGTAAATGACCTTATAATTTTCCATCACTGTCTTAGATAAAGTAAGATGAAATTCATGTTCGCTTGGTATATGATGATACTTAGAAACATAAAATAAATTTATTTATATATCAACTAGGCTAGGTTTAATTTTTTTCCGAATATTTGATAATCCGTATCGAGGCAAATAGTTCCTTGTTTCTTTGAGCATAACCCAATATTTGCTGCGAGTATACAACTTGCTGTAACAAACTTCCTGATTTTTGGGTAACAATATCAGAAGGAACTTCTGTCTTTATTGTTTTGAATTATAAGGAAGGAAAGGTTACAGATAATATGTGCAAAATTTAGAGATAACAGAAATAAAAGTTATTTTAAATTAATTGTGATTTGAAGTTGAATTTTATCGTTTACTAACGAGATATAAAAATCGTATGATTTAAATCATCACTGAGAAGTCTATTTTTTTTTTCAAATATCTAAGCTTTTTTTTTTTAAAGGAAAATGACTGTTAAATTTTCCTTCGTCGTGTATATAAGATTGATTATGATAAATTGTATTATACTGTACCTTTGATTCAACGGACTGAATTGAATTGTGGCTTCTATATTTAAACGAAGAAATACAAAGCAGGTTTATTAAGATTTCTTTTTTTTTTTTTTTAAAAAAAAAAAGTAAAATTTAGTCGAACTGCTTTTTAGTTTGTGTTAAAAATAAAAAATACAATAATAAGAAGATTTTATTGGCCACAATTGATTGCTAAATTTTTATGATAAATTTAGTATATCTTAAGATTCTTATATTTCTAATAACTAAATAAAATTAATTACACGTTTTTATGATAAAATAAATTTCAATACCGCTGAAGATAAATATTTCTTCCTATGAAAGCCTTATTCAGTATATGAAAAGTAATTTTTCCGCTATTAAAGAAAAATGCAGTTAAATATATAATATAACTATCAAATTATTTTAAATCAACAGATTTTTCACGTTATTAATGTATATTGTTTTGAGTATATATTCCGTATTATATTCATTTAATTATAAACTTTAAAAGAATCATTAATCACTTTACACTTCCATAAATACCGTGTACAAATTGCTGTAAGTCTTGTTGATAAGGCTGCAATATTTATGTTGAAAAGATTATTGAGGTGTAGTACCGCATTTATTTCTGTTTAGAAATAATTTTTTTGCATGCTCCATGAAAGGTTTAATATCAATTTATTATAATTTACATTTTTTGCAAAAATTATTGAATGTGAAGCATTACGGTTAAAGTACTCCGATGAATTAGTAAGCTATGTATATCTACGATCGTAATTATAATAAATACTTTATGGAACGCGTCAAAAATTTTCCCGATGTGGCCTAAATTATTTTGACCATGGTATATACCATAAATAAACTCGCGATTGTCATCATTACGCGACTTGATCGGATATATATAAAGCATACTCTTTCTTCGAATTTTTTTTTTTTCCAAACTCGTGATGAAGAAACTCACCAGACTTATCCGGGATACGATGGTAAATTCTTATATAATTTTGCAATTTGACTCAATTTTTTAACTTCCTAGAACTCGTCTCCTATTTAACGAACCAAAGCAATTAAATCTTTTCAAGGTTTCCTCTTCCGTCACCGAGAAGTAGTTCTTAGTTCTTCCTCAAATACTTCTTGGCAGAACCTTGATCATTGTTGGTTCAACCGCTTTATAAAAGCATACTTGTTGCTAGATAAAATAATTATGAAGCTTTATTTTATAAGGTGAGTTGTTTTTATTTTGCAAGAGGAAGGGTAACTCCTATTGGATCATTGATCCCTTACGAGAATTACTGTACAGCGATTGCTGGTAACCATCCCCAGTTTTTTCTGTACGGGCGCCCTGTTTAACAATTAATTTTGTCATTTTGTCGTTGGTAAAGTCTGCTGATTCTTGATGAAGGGGAATTGGCTATGTAACTTCTTTATCCTAAATAAATTCTGCACACTAACAATCATTTTCTTACTCTCAACAGGTACAAAAGTAACGTGACGACTTGGAAGGTATTGGCGAGAAGTTGTTGAGGAGTGCAACCTTGTGAGTACAAAATGTGATTGGTTACTCAAACATACTCAAACAGTAAAATGTAGTAGTAATCATTATGACTCTGTTAAACTATCCTATATGATTTTAAGAGAAATGATCTTTCACTAAACAAGGCTGAAAGAGAACGTCTCAATGCCGTCATATAGGGATGCTAATGGTCACGGTCATGACCGAGACCGATATCGGTCGGTTAAAGTCTTTTGACCGACCGGTTGACCGACCGATTCCGAGACTGACAACCATGTTTTAAATAGTAAAAACACTTTATGTTAAATTAACAAAATCAAACATTTTATTATAATTATGATTATCTATAATTAAAATTAAAATTTTGAAATTTTGAAAAAAGTATAAAGTCTGTGATAATGCTGCGCCACTAAAAAATGTCAAAGTGAATTAAAAATGCCATGCTAGAATTGTTAAAGCAAGAATCAAAATTATAATATTTGGCTAAATTAAAACTTACTACTAAGCCAAAACTGCTCAATTATATTACTATTAACCGGTCGGTCAACCGGTCAGTTAAAATCGGTCAGTTAACCGGTCGGTCGGTCAAAGGTCTTGACCGTCCGTTACTATCCTAACTAAGATTACTGATTTTCTTTAACGCACAACCAGACCTTTAAAAGAAACTCTGAATCAACCCTATTAATATCAAACTAATTATTGTTATATATAAATAGCACAATTTTTTATGAACTTTCAATAAATAATATCCTAAGTGGTATTTTCCGCTCTGCAATTTTACTTTGAGGATTAATAAATGGTTAACATTTATTTATTTATGATTTTCATAGTGATTTCTTTAATAATTAAAGTGTCATTAATTTTTATTTCTTGTAATAACGTACTGATTCACTTCTGACTTGAATTTGAATAAATGAAAGTGAGGGATCGAAAATATTGAAGTGGAGTTGATATGATTTGTAATTTAAATTTCATGAGAAATATTAGAAAAAAATTTAAAAATCAAAAATAATTAGATAATTAAAAAAATAATCAGAAAAATTTTATCATCAAGATTTCAAAAATTAGCTTCTTTGGGTGGCATTTTAAGGGTTGATAAAGCCATCAGTATTCTAATTTTTTCTTTTTAGTAAGTAACGGAAACAAAATTAAAAAAAAAATAAAAAATGGCGTATATTTTGTTTTTAAAAAGGAATATTTAATTTGTTAAACAATGATTTTCATAAAATTCACCTTACCTTAAATCAGGTAGATAATACAAAAAAGTGATGAAGGGTAATGACAAATTTGATAACCTACAAAGTATAAAAATGATTCTAAAAAAAATATTGAGTCGTTTTGAGAAAAATAGCTAAGAGAAGTGATGAAAAAAATATTTTAATAAAATCACCACTGTGTGGACTAACAAAAAACTATTTTTTAGATAAGGGTATGGGGAATAAAAAGAGATAAAAGTTTGAAAAGGAAAGTTTTAATTTTTATTTGTAAGCTAAGCCATAGCTGCCCTTAAACGTTGATACCATGTGAAGTCAATCTTACTGCGCCACAAAGATTGACGAATGATCAACGTTATCAACATTATTAGCATTTTTAACTTAATTAATATTTTTATTTTATTTATCTTATTCTTATATTTTACTACTATTATCTATTATATTACTATCATCATTAAATTATCTTTTATATTTATTTTATCATTATAAAATAGTTTAGCGTTAGATAGCAATTTCTTATAATTGTATTTTTATATAAATAGAATAGAAATTTGTCCTTGTAAAAGGGCAGAGAGATAATAGTGTAAACTCAATAGTTCAAGTTCAAGACTTAGAATCTAAGGTTAAGGATTGCTAAGAATACAAATCTCTACAATAAAGGAATCTCTTTCTAAACTACACATATTAAAAATCCTTTAACGTGTCAATTATATTTATCATATTTACAAGTTGTTAAAGTTATTTACTCGTCTAAAAGTATAAACTTAAGGTTAATTGTGATAGAACTTATTCCACAATAACTTAGTAGTTTCTCATATGTTACTCTCTATTATTAAGTCATAGTTACCCTAAGTTCAACGGTTAAGTGTAAGGTTAACAATATGCAATTTTAGATAAAATTTAATATTTATTTTAATAAGATTTCTACCATAATAATGAATCTAAATTAATATCTATAGAAGTATTAAGATAATGTTCAACTTCTTCAAAGTTTGGATTAGAATTAGAATATGAATTAAAGTTTTGGATTAATCATATTTAAAAAAAAATTTCATGAGGACAATCCTGATAAATTGGTTGATGCATTTTCTGAAACTATATGATCTGGTTTATATATTTCATATAGATTATAATAAAATCTAATATTTTGTTCTTTTTCTTTTTCTTCAGTGAATAGTGTAATTTTATAGTATAGATCTAAAATTACAGAGATTGAAGAAGACTCTGAAAGATGTAATTTCTAATATTTTTCTAATTTTTGTAAAATAGTAGTTGCAATCTGCTTTTTTGATTGTGAACTAGTTCTCATATAATTTTTTAATAAAGTAAACTTCTAAGAAAAAGACAATCAAAGATTTCCTTATGTTGAAGATGATGTTATTGATAATAAAGTTATTGCCATATATATAGACTTCAAACTGATTTCAATTCCTATTATTAAAATTTTAAAATGAGTTTAAAAATTATATTTATATAATACAATATATATAAAATATAAAATGTTTTATACTTACTACTATTTTTTCTCATTTTAAAACTATTTAAAATAATTTTCTAATATGTTTATATAAGAATATACTAAAATTTGCATTATTTTTCTCATTTTAATTTAACATTCTATCATATAAAATATAGTATTCCATCTTATTTCAACATCTTGAACTGACATAATAAATTGTTTTTGTTTTATATAACATATAGTTCTTAAATTATTAATTAATCTTAGAGAATTTCTAATTTTAATAACAAGTTGTCATAATTTAATAATAGCTGAATTAATACATTTTAATCCAGCTTTTATAGCTAAATTAATTATGTAAACTGCACATCAATAATGACTAAATGATAAATTTGAAAATTTTTTATCCAATTCAGTTGTTAAATCTCTACCACATGCTACTATATTCCTGATATTGTCTATAGTTAATGATATTACTTTAACATTATATTAAATTCTTTCAAAGTTGATAAAATTTGATTTACTATTAATGAAGAAGAGTGTGAACCTTGAAGTACTATAAAACTATATCTATAGGGCATTTTTTCATTTTCCATAAATTTGTAATGAAATGAATAGTTATACCTAAATAAAATTAGCTAATAATAGAACAAGTCCAAATATCTGTAGTCAATGCAATTTTTGAAGTAAAACTATTAAAATAAATAAAAATGTTTTTTTTACAATCAGTAAATCTATTAATAATATCATCTTTTATTATCTTTCTACATGGTATAACATAATAAAAATCCAATGATATACTAATTTTTTGAACATAACTTGCTCAACAACTTTAAAAGGCTATAAATTAACAGCCATCTAGTCAACTAAATTGTTTGTAATGTGTACTTGTTTATGTTTGGTATAAGGTCTGAACTAATATGAAGTGAGTTTTATTTATTTGTTAGAAGTGTTGGAAGTATAGGTTATAGTATATTTTTTTTGTAAATAGTAGCGTAAAATAGAAGTAGCATAAGAAGCAGCAAAAGTTGCATGACATAATTTGCATTTATTTGATTTTAGTATATTATTTTTATCAACTATTTTCTGAAAATAGTCCCAAATATTAGAAGCCACTTTAATTTTATTATTTGAAGGTTAAGAATAGGTGGAATCTAAGAAAAGAAAAGAATCAGCTTTGCTAATATTATCAGATAATATTTTTTGATTTTGTTACACTTGATATAATTTATTATTTATATAATTTAAAAATATGTAAATTTAATATGTAAAAATATATCTATTAATAAAAGGTTAAGAGCAATTGATCAATAAAATGATAAGATCATCTTTTATAAGATCATTAAAAAAAGACCAATCCTATGATCAATCCTGTTGATCTATCCTAAAAAAGATTGGTATAAGACTAAACTTATGATCAGTCCAATAGTCTTTCAGTCTGAATCAGATCATTTTCATCCCTATTCACAAGAATTGTAGGTAATGCCTATGGACTATCTGATACTTGAATAATTTTTTCATATAGCATCTTTTTAATTTTTCCATCAATAAATTCTTACTCTTCTTTTATCATCCAATAATAATTTCTTCTAATTAAATCATTTCTTGTATAAATTTTATATTAAGATACATTAGTTATTTCAATTCTGGTTGATTGTCTAGTTTTAGAAATATTGGTAATAAATCTATTATTTTAGTTTTTTCTTTTATTTTTCGTATTACTACTTTTATAGGATTTTCATTTTCTTCTACTTTTCCTCTAGAAGATTGTCACATTCTATATATAACTTCTTCTTTTCTAATTGAGAGAAATATACCATCTTGATCATACAAAATATTGAGTACATATTTGAAGTTGTTAACTTTCTTTTCGTATATTTCTACTTTATTAGTTTAAGATTGAATTGAATCTTTCTTTCAGACTTAGTTTCATATTTCAGCATCATACTCTTCTTCTTGTTCTTCAATTTTTATAATATAGCTATCTGTTTCTTTTACATTATCAGATATATATTCCAATCCTTATTCAATTATTTCATCAAGTTTATCCTTAATGGTTGCTTAAATTCATTTTCTAACTATACTAGAACTATAGCTTTATCTAATTAAGAGGTAAAAATTATTTCATTATTTTCAAAGTTAATATTAATTTTGTTTTTCTTGTATTAGTCAATTTTCAATAGTAAGATTTGATCAGTTAAATCAATAACTTAAAAGATCATTTTGATAAAAATTCCTTGAATGATTAATGGTATATTCTTAAGTATTCTTAAGGCTCTTTCTTTTTGTTCGTTTGCTATAACAATGATTATTTATGAAGATTCATCGATATCTAATTCAAGTTTCTTTATTAATTTATATATCATGATGCTTACTGCAGCTTCTGTATCAATAATAGCTGTTATAGGATTTTTCTTAATTTTAATATTATTTCTTAATGTTATAATCCGTTTTTCTTCTTTTTAAGTACTGGTAAATACTGTATTTTCTTCTAACTTAGATCTTCTAATTCCTTAAAGAAGTTTTTGTTGTTACAATCTGAATTGTATTATTTGTCTTATATTAATATTAGCTTTAATATTTATAAGTAAAGGTTAGAACTGGTTAATTTTTAATCAGTTAATTAACCAGTTAAAACAGTTAACATGTTAACCAGTTAAAGATTTTTTTAACTGGTTAAAATAAATGAATTTAAATCTGATTGAAATTCATTTTTAGACTAGAATTAAGATTTTTATGATTTGCAAATTATTGTCTGACTCTGGCCAAATTTATAGTACTAGCCAAAGTTAATTTTTACCAGTTAATTAACTGGTTAACAAATATTTTAACCAGTTATTAAATGGTTAAAAAATTTTTGACTAGTTTCAACTTCTATTTATAAGGTTGTTCCAAATATTGTAAGGTTCAATATTATTCAAAAGTAATAGTTCGTTAGATATTCTCTTCTTAGATTTACTGGTATTATTCACTACTATTTGAGGTATCTGTTCAGTTATCTCCATTAGTTTATTAACTGTCTAAGAACGAGTTTGTCTAGTATAAATTTCTTTTGTAATTTAGATCTTTTACTTTAATCGCTGGGAAGACTTCTTGTTCAAGTATATTTACTTTCTTTTTATCTTGATAATTGTTTCTAACTTTTCAGTTATCTTGAAGCATAACTTTTTCTAAGAGACATTGTTTAGCTATATGACCTTTTTCTCTACATCTGAAACAGATTAATTCTTTTTCAGTCTACCTTCAGAATTGAAGATTTTCTTTTAGCTTAGTTATTGGTTAATGCAGCTATAATATTTACTTGATTCAAAACCATTTGTTCAAATTGTTTAGACAATTTTTTAATGTCATCTTCAACTTTTGGCTTGCTAAAATTATATACTGTTGCATAATATCTTTCTGCTTCAACAATTTTAGCTTGAGTAATAGTAACATTCAAATCTGCTAGATTTTGTAGTGATTAAAGTTGGTAATTCTTTATTCAATCCACTTAAAATATTCATATATTAAAGGCATTTGGTATTCCTTTTGCATTTACTCTATTTGCAACTTCTTAAATTTAGATGCATAAGTTTCAACCTTTTCATTTCCTTGTTTCAGATTCATTAATTCATATTACTATCTATATAACTTTTCTTAAGATCAAGAACATGCTAAGAATCTTTCTCTAAATCCTAAATTTGCATCTTTGTTTTATCTATTAATTATAACGCTTACTAGATTATACTAGTCAGCTACTTTTTCTCTTAACATTCCTGCTACAATTGCTACTTTTTTATTATCAAGCCTTCCATTAGCTTCTTTTGCTCTTAAGAATATTTCAATCCATTCCTTAGCATCTTCATTATCTTTTCTATAAAAAAGGTCAAGTTTAACAATGAAGTTGTGATCTATGACTACACCTCAATGAGTCATGTGATCAAAATGATTAACAAAATTGATGAAGTGAACAAATTAAACCAAGTTGCTAAATTGGTAATTATTAATCTATTTAATATTTTAGATAGATTAGTTACATTATTTATATTCATTATATTTATTAATTATAGTATTATTAGTAAAGTAGTTATATTTATCTTTTATATTATATATATTTTATATTATTTTATTTGTATAAATATCTTGTATTTTCCCTTGAATTGAAAAGTAACTCAAGTTAAGGTTTTGGAATTAACTAAGTGTTCAATAAAGAAATTGTTAAATTTATTTACTATTATCTTTTATTGTTTCTTTATATTAGCGTAATTGTAATATTATTTTGTATTTAATTTGACAGATTAAATTAAAAGTTTATCATTTAAGTTTACAAATACCAAGCCAACAATAATAGAACTTCTTAATACAGGTAGTAATAAAATATTAATATTATTAAATCCATTAGTTATATTAATTATAATTTGCATTATCAATGCATTGAGTTAGTCTGTTATAGTCATGTTTCAAGATTTGGTAGAAGGGTTTCTCTGAAGTTAAAGTAGTTAATATTATATGAGGTAATAAGAATATGTTGATATATTACTTCTGGTTTGAAAAATCTAAAACTAAATACTAAAGATATTACTGCTTTTATTGCTTATTCAGTTTTATGACTATGAGGATTATTAATATTAAAATATTATTCTATTTCATCAAAGTATTATTCACTTAAAGATGAGTATATATATAAATGATATTACTAGTAAATCTACTGATAGAATCTTTGAAATTGAATGCTTGAGTTTCTATAAGGTCAATAACAAATGTTATAAGCTTTTTAAAAGATTTTATAAGATGTTTCTATTCTAAATATTTCAAATAGTCATCTAATTATTAATTTCTTATTTGATAATATAAATCACAATTTATGTACTAGTAGAAATCTCTATGATAATTCAATAAGTCTCTTCTGATTTCTAATAGATTATTCCTGTCTCTATATAGGTCAAATAAGTAATCATTAAGAGCTTTTAATCCTTTTTTTACTTTTTATTTGACTAAATTATATTGAGCCGTAATTTGCTTCTTTTATGAATAATTAGATCTCTAATTTCTTTTTTAATATTAGGATAGATATAGATATAATTAAGGAGTTCAGTAAGGGTATTCAATTATTGTTATAATTTTCTGGTTACTAGAAAGATAACAATGTCAATTTCTTCTAAGTGGTAAGTTGTTATGTTGATATTTTTTTCTAATTTTAATAACTTTTGAATACTTATATAAATGTACTTGATTATTATTTCTATTCCTTATAAAAAGTACTAAAATGTTATGATAGGATTATAGCTTCAATTAAAATCTCAAAAGGATAAATAAAACTAAGACAATTACTTAAAGACTCACAGGTGAGGATTCACAATAATATCAAATATTATTTTCAATGTAAAAATATATAAGATAAACACAAAAATAATTCAAAGATAACTTAAAGATATTTCAAAGATCACACTTTAAAGATTCTAGTTAATACAGCGAATTAATACAATATTATATAAAGGGTTTACTAACAATAATTAAAGAGATTATATAAATGCAAAAAGATTATGAATAATTTATAACATTTTCAAAAGGTTGCGAAAAATAAGTTTTATACTTGGTTAAT